AACCCACATTGCTAGCATTCTCGGCAGCCGACACGGAAGTAATACGAAGAGCCTTGAATAAGATCTGTTTCTGAGGAGGGACAACATCAACTAGATGGTAACGCTGGTTGAACAGTAACTTAATAGTTCTCTTCACATGAAACACGGTTGAACGACGATAGAGCAAATCAAACGGAGCTTCGTCGATGGAAAACAGAGGAGAGAAAAGGGGATAGAGCAAACGGCGACTGAAGATGCAAAAATGAAAAAAACTAAACATATATATGATTTATACTCTAAACTTAAGGGTAATTTTAAACACGACTCTATATTATTTTAGGGTTCACAGTTTGGCCTCCCATTTTTAGTCTGCATTCACTATGATCCCTAATCTTCTCAAACTTCCTTCCTAGCTTTGAAATTATTCAATTTAATCCTCACTTTACATTATTCAAATGAAATTGAGTCCTTGAACTTATTTTCTTATGCATATTAAATTTTAAAAGTATTATTGTTTCTCTCTATGTTAGAGAAATAAATAATTTCCAAAATAATTTAAATATTTTTTAAATAAAATTTTAATATTTTTAATAAATTTTTAAAAGTTTTCAAATGATGTCGTATCTCACATCAATATTTTTTAATATATTATATCTTTTTAATAATATATATTTTAAAAATATTGTTAGTTATCCTTAAGAACTTAAATTATAATCCAAATTGTAACTGATGACGGAGCTAAGATCAAACACTAGAGGGACTAATTTTCTTTACAATGAAAGAACAAGGTTCAATGAAGTATTTAAATATAGAAATGGAGAGGAACAAAGGTCTTATTTAATTAATATTTAAACTAAAAAGGACTTAAAATGCTATTACACCAAAATATTTGGGAGGGTAACAACCCCTTCCACCTCCTTGATAGCTCTTTCCTTGATTGTAACTACATAAATTCATTGACAAAATATATGTATCACATCAAGTCATAGGTAACTCACACTACAATTATAATGTCTCATAAGAAATTTTAGACATTTTAAATGTTTCTCTATATTTTTAAATTTTAAATATTTTTAATACTATAGAATAATTATGTAATATTTTTATTATTTTAAAATAATTATATAATATTTTAAAAAAATTAAAAAATTTAATTTTTTATAATTTTAATAATAATTAATATTTTGTGGAAGAAATTCTGAGAAAACTAATAGGATAAAATAAAAAAATCATTAATAATATTTTAAATTGGTGATATGTCCAACATTGCAACATAAATTGTTTTCATAAAAAAAATTTGTTAATTTTTGCGTAAAACATTTAATTACGCAATCACATAACGCATTTTAAAACTGTCACATAAAAGAGAAAAAATATAATAATGAGTGAAAAATACTTGCTTTTATCATAGTAAACCTATTTTTTGTGACACAAATAAAATGTTACCTTTTATATCTAATAAAATATGAAGAATCAAATTGTCACTAATAAAATATATTGATGACCAATTTGTAACGTTGTTAATTCAAATTGAATCTTCATAATAATAAATCGTCACTAATACTTTCATTTTATTAGAGACGAATTTACATCGTCACATCTCTTTTAAATGTCATTGAAAGATTTCCCATCAAATTTTTTGGAGGAAAATTTTGGCTTCAAACATATAGTGACGAAAATTAATGACATTTTCTAAAATTGTCATAAAAGATATACCTTAATCACTAAATGTGACGAAAACAAAAAATCGTCACGCTTCTAGTATATTTTGTGATGTTATATGCAATGTCATATAGAAATTTCGTCACAAATTGATAAATTTGTTGTAGTGTTAACTGTTATTAGTTGGAAGTTTGTTAGTAGTAATTAGTTAATATTTGATGGTAGGGCTATTAAAGTTTGACTGAAAAGAGGAGTTTGAACCAAGCATTGTAATCATTTTTTTACTAATAATAAACTCTTATATTTTCATTCTTTGTTTGTAATCTAACCCCAAATACAATCATTGTCACTCTTCACTTCTTCACACACTCGGGCCTCGGCTGTTCTTCATTCAATGCCATAAATACACCTCTCTCACATGTGGAAATAAAAACCACGTAGTCCTGGAAGATGTGAGAGGCTGATTCAAAGGCAAACCCACAGAAAGTACATCTAGGAGTATCTATCATATGGCGGCAGACTTGTTCTTCGTTCTTCATGGGTCTGTTTATATAGATTAACCACAAGAGCATTTTCACTCGAGGAAGACCCCTGTAACTAGAGATGTTTCGCCACAAACCAGACTCCACAGTGCCACGATCACCTAAGCTCTAAGAATATGCACCAGACGTGGTGAACCTTCTATTTTTGTCCCACTTCTAACCTGGACGATTTTCCCCGCCCAAAAAGTAGGTTTATATACATATATATAATTTAATTATGGATATTCAAAAATACCCGACCCGATTGACCCGATATGTCGATATGTCAAACCGGTTAAAAATATAGGTTACTTATAATAAAAATACCCAATTTTTCAGGTCGGGCACCCGGATCGCTATTTTTTTCATGTTTTTGGGTCATGCTTGGGTCGAAAATATTGCTTAACCGGGTAACTGGTAACTTGGTACCCGTTTTTTTTTATATTTTATGTTTTTATTTTATATTAAAATTTTTATTCATAATTTTCAAATTATTTCACTCTATCATTCTAAATTCATAATTTCTTAAATTTTGCCACCATAACATTCTAAATTCTTACTTTCTTAAATTATTTCACATTAACATTCTAAACTATTTTTTAAAATGTTTATTTTAACTTCAAAGCATTTGAAATTTAATTATATTTCTTTATTTTAGTTTTTAATAATTTTTCTTGTAATTATTTAATTTGAATTTTTAAATTTTATAGGTGGATTATATATATTTAGACCTTTAAATTTTAAAATTTAAAATATTTCTATATAATATTTAAAAATTAATATAATAAAAAATAATGAACCAATTACCCTATCTACAGATACCCGAATGTAATGGGCCGAGACACGGGCTGACTTTTTAATACTCGAATAGGGTACTCGATTTTGAACACCCCTAAATTTAACCATGATTTTGGAAAACCAAGTAAGAATGATTATTATTTTTTTCCTATCAAGACTTGAAATTTAGTCATAAAATTAGAAATAGAACAAGATTTTTTACGCTAATTGAACTTAAGAGTATGTTTTAATATCATAATATAATTACATGAAAATATAATTATTATTTTTAATAACTATACTTATATTTAAGTGTAATTATAAGAAACTCTAATTACGTAAATATGTTTGAACGATCGATGTAATTACATCTTAATCATCATGTCATACTTCGTAATTGGTAGTATAAATTACAATTATATAATTAGATAAGTTTAAATTTAAAAATAATATTAATTATAAAATTAAATAATGTAATTTCTAGCAGAGACAAAACAAAGAATCACATCTTATAGTTGGGACTGAAAAACATGACCGCTAGGGTTAGCATGGAAAAGAAATCAGCTGAAGACAGAACAACTAAGAAGAGGTCCGGTTGATAAGCTAATACTGATCAGTGTCTATGGCTAGCTCCTACGTGAGGTTTTATAAGCTATGGATGGATGAAAAGTCTTTTCTTCCCAAATTGTTGTTTGACCTTGGATTTGCAATAGGTACAGATGCTCGAAATGTGTTAATACCCTTGCATCGAGCTATGGGAGCTAGTGAACTGAGTAGTTTATGAAAAGATAGACAGTTTAAGGTGTTGTGAAAATTTGGGGAAAATGGGAACTCACTTTGAACGATAGTCTTGTGAATCCAGAGGTTTCCTAGCAAAGTGCTTCTGGTTAAACAAAACAATCAGATTTGAGTAGCAGGGTATTTTTGTTGAGCTGTGTTAGTTTTCTATTTAATTTAAGGATGCATAATTGATAGTTAATGTCGAAGGAAGATCTCTAGAACAGACTGAGTGATTGACCATTGGCTCTCAATAATTTAATCTCATTGAGGGGCTCACTGATATGGAATTTTTGTGCTTGTGTTTGTGAACTAGCCTTGCTGCAGAATCTTGTCTGTTGTTAGAGTTCGCGCTTATAACTTCTAGTTGGGCAAACTCTTAATCTTTAATAATCATTCATGTGTGTATTTGATTCATTGTGGCTTAGGTCAAGACATGTTTTTTCTCCATTTAGGTTTAGGGAGATTTTTTAACAAGGTCTTGATTTTGATTATCGTCCTTGTGTGGGTTGAGGATGATAATAAAATAATTTTGTTTCTTTCAAAAAAATATCACCAGACGTAGACGACAAGGAGCAAGGTCGCATGGAAGTTGATGCCAATAAAGATTATTGGAATAATTATTTTTATTTTGAATTTATACATTTATTAAAAAAAATTATATATTTAAATTTTTAAAAAAAATACTAAATTCATATTTTAGCTAAAGTCTAAAGATCAAATTATAAAATAATTATTTATTGATAACGTGGCGTATTATCAATATAACAAGAGTCTTATTACATTCCATAAATCACTTTATGACAAATCAATACACAAATAATTAAATTGTACCAAAAAATACACAAATAATTAAAATATAATTTATAAAAATTCAATGACCAGAAATTACATTCAAAAGTATCCACTCTTGAGAAATTTACATATGGTGTACTTTTTTATTAAGTAAATTTTGAAACATATACAACATAATATTGTTTCTTTCATACCAAAACTTATTATTAGCCATTGAACTTTCCCTGTGCTCCATGTGAATTATATAAAACTACATTAGCGATTTAATTTTAATAACAAAATAATTTATTTATAATAATATTTTAATTGCTTGGGATATTTATAACTTTTAGGAAAAAGTGACCTATTCGACAACAAATTCATAATTAACTAAAACTTCGGGCGTAGTTTCCTACTTCTTGAATTACTATCCAGATCCGAGAACCCGCTCCGTGTTCAATCGGGTTTACCCTCTCACCTTCAGTTCCAAAACCTTGTTTTTAGGGGTTTTTTTATTTCTGGTAGAGTTACCCTTTCCCACCCTTTCAACTCCGACTCCTCACTCTCATTCTTATCTCCATACGATATCCAACCAGTATGATAGCTATCTCTTCCAACCCATTTCTTTTAAATTTCAACTTTTTTAGTAATTATTTTGCACTTGATCTTCATATACATACATATATACGTTGAACGGGTTCTTAATTCTCATTTTCGCTAATGCATTTTGTTTGTTGGTTTTTCTTTGGGTTTTGAAGGAAGACCTAAAAAAGAAGATATTTTGAACATGGTGGGGTGGCAGAGACATTTGCAATGTGCTCTTCGTCAAGTTGGAAGAAGATTCGAACATAACTATACTCACTCTGCCAACTATTCTTCTTCTATTTCTCACGTAACCTCCTCTGCTTTACCTGGTTAGTTTCTTTCCTTCTCTCTTTCTTCTTTTTATTGGGTAATCTAAAGGTTAAATTTGGGATTGACACTGAGAAAGAAAAGATGGGTATTTTTTTGTTTTATGTAAAAAAAGCTGAATTTTAAATCACTTAACTATTAATACTCTATCTATTTAGCTTGTTTCATGCGCAAGATCATTTCTTGTATTTGGCTGATTTTTTTAATTACTCTCTTCTTTTTGCGTGAGCCCTTGTGAAGTTAAAGTTCAATTTGAAGTTATGATTGAGAAGAGATCATTTTTATTACTTTTTTTTTGCTTCTTTTTGTGAGTAGGGAATTGAATTTGAGTATGAAAAAAGTACATGAAATATTTATGCAGGTGAACTGCGTAGTTATCAAAGATTGTGGAGATCACCTTCAGCAAGTATCTCAACGCCTTTGTATCAGTATTTTCAACAATTGGTAATGCCTACTCGTTCTTTTCATTTTTTCATGATTTTGTTTGTCGACGCCTCCTTTCTGCAAAAGATCAGAGTTTCTTGTATGTTCATTGTTGTAACAGGACCTGCATTTGACTATATAATTCCCTTGGTTTGAGGTGGTGTCAACTTATTGAAGATCGTTAGGATACTTCTAACTGATAAAAAAACAAATTTTCAACAATGTTACAATGTTATGAACAAAATTTCTTATCTTGTGTTCTTATTCTGATCCAAAGGCAGTTGCATATCCGATATCTTCTTATTTGGTTCTTAAATATTTTGATTTTAATCTCAAGCTTTTCAAAAATATAATTCCCTTATTCTTATGTTTTTTGTTTATCCTTGAATAAGTTGTCTTTTGTTTTCCATGCTTAGGGAATTTTCACTTCAGGGAAGCTACTAGCAGGTTCATCTGAAGAGACGCCAATAGCATCACCATTAACTCCCGTTTTGGCTATAAATAGCGGAAAGACTGAAGAGAAGAAAGTTGCTCCCAATCGGACAAAAGTTCAAGCAGTGTTAAAGAAGATAAAACAGGTTACCTCCTGAACTATAACCCAAAATTTCTAGTTTTGAACTTTTTGCTTTTTTCAATATTTGAAGGCAGTTCACTTGAAGGTAAGAATAGAGGCAGATGATTTAATTGGTATGGAGCTATAATATATCAGCTTTATGTAATGAAAATACAAAGATATGATAAAATTTTATAATTTCCTGTACCCATGAATCCATGATCCTCTACCTATAATAGTTGCCAATGTTAAATAACAAGAAAACCCTTTTACATGAGACATTTTCAGTTTGGAAAATAACTTTTATAAGTTACATAAGCATGCTAAGAAAAAGATTTGTCTCCATCTTTATTTGTTTTAGCTTAATTGATGGAAAACATTATGTTCGGTTTTCACTTCTGAACATAAATCTAATTCTTGATTAGTTGAAATAAATGATATTATGAGTCCTTCAGTCGATGAACCTTGCATAAAATTTCTATAGGATTAGTTAAGCAGATGGGATCTTTCTTGCTATCTAAAGCTATTAGTGAAATAGATGGCTTGCTCTCATGCTTTACGAGATTTAGAGAGAAATTCCGCTGAAACAGACTTCTAACTTCTGTACTCGGTATTGTGCTTGAGAACATATCATAGAGCGTCTGTGCAGTTACTTGTTAATTTAACTTTACAAAAACTGATGGAGGCTAGTTTATGAATTTCCAATATTAACTTCATTTGCCTAAATTCTGCTTGGGATAATTTGATCATGTCTTTCCTGTAAATAATGGCGTGCTCGGAGCAAACCAAAAAGGGGAAAGAATTATTACTATACTTCTCTAATATGGGGCCTTATACTACCATTGTGATGCTGTATTGCCATGCTCCTGATGTTTTTATCTAGTAGAATTAACTTTTGCTGACTTGCTCGTTTTAGAGTCCTAAGAAGGTCAACTTGGTTGCTGCATTAGTTCGTGGTATGCGTGTTGAGGATGCATTATTGCAGTTGCAAGTGACAGTAAAGCGAGCTGCTAAAATGGTCTATCAGGTAATTCAACAGCTATGCCCTACTGCTGAGCTATAGTTCTTTTTTGAAGTATTTGTGTTGTTTCTGGTTGAAATGTCTTCTCTTAATCTATCCCAAACTCCTCTTAGTAAGCAGCTATAGCTATTTGCCACCAAAGAAAACCCGGAAAAAGAAACTTACTGCTCCAACTATACAAATTAGAAAGCATTAATGAAAAAGAAGGATATTGTTTCTTCAAACAGAATGAAAGCAGGTCCAGCATGGATGTACCTGTTTTCTTATATTATTATTATTTTTGCTCTCTCTACTTATGTTTGATTTTTGGTATTGTTTGGAAGGAAAATACTTTTGGATTTTCTGCGGACAATGGAGTTCTAGCATTTTTTATAATTATATAACACCTTGCAATTCAGGTTATTCACTCAGCTAAAGCAAATGCTACCCACAATCATGGATTGGATCCTGAACGTCTGCTCGTTGGTAAGCAGTGGAAATGAGCATATGCTTTATATCACTTTGAATTCTTGTGCTTGTATTCATTCTTCATTTCGGTTTAATGTTAAACAGCTGAGGCATTTGTCGGAAAGGGATTATTTTTGAAGAGAGTTTCCTATCATGCTAAAGGGCGATCCGGAATTAGAGAGAAGCCTGAGTGCCGACTAACTGTTGTAGTGAGGGAGACGACCCCAGAAGAGGAGGCTGAGATAGCCAGGCTGAGGGTAAGAAAATTCCGCAAGCTTACTAAGCGCGAAAAACGACTTGTACCCCATCAGCTTATTGAAACCACTCCTATTTGGAATCGCAAAGGCGGGAACCGGGAACCAAATGGCAAGGCTGCATGAGATTGTAGTCGTTTATTTGTTTAACTTTGTAGAAAAGTAAAGCTCTGGAGGCATAACTTGAATTAGTCCCAGGTGGGTGCTACAACATAGTTTTCAGTGGCTGGAAATGGGTTTGAAGATGTCAAATTTTGGGGGATATTCCCTTTCCTTTATTCCTTGAGAAAAAAGAGATAATATTGGAAGAATAATCTTTTGAAGTAATGACTGTCGAATTTTTCTTTTTTGATAAGTGAGCATACGAATATTGTAGCTTGGAATGAAATTTTGGAAGCATGCAGGTTGAAACTCATGAATTAGCAAGTTCATTGAAGCATATATGTAGGTATCGCAATCACATGACATTGATATGTAGCTTTAGTGATGATTTTGAAAAACAAAATAGTTGAGTGACCAAAATTGAACTGTGAGAATAGTTGAGTGATTAATATGTAATTTACCCATATTTCTTAACATAGTTAACTATTTTTAACAGATGAGATAACATTTAAACTTTAGGTTATAAAATCTCAAAAATACTTTAAAAGACAATTTGATATAAATAATATAATTTAGGGAAGAAACGTACATTTAATTATTATAAAAATGATTACTCTTTTTTTTTAATCGAGAAACATTCTATCAAATATCAATGGTTTAAACTTTAAACACGAGGGCAAAAAACAATAATAATATAATAAAAAAGAAAAGAGTTAAAAAATAGAGTTTGGTATAAGCACATAGCCTATAAATAACCAGTTTCAAGCCTATAAAAAAATAGAGTTTGGCATTAGTACACAGCCTATAAATAACCAGTTTCAAGCCTATAAAAAAGTAGAGTTTGGCATTAGTACACAGCCTATAAATAACCAGTTTCAAGCCTACATTTAATTAAGATATAATGGTAGATATAGTTTTCAATATTTTGCCCCTAAATTATATTGTTTGTACTGAACTCTCTTAAAGTATTTTTAAAAAAATAAAAACTTTAATTTAGTGATGATTTAAAAAAATAGTTGAGTAATCAAAATAGAATTGTAAAAATAGTTAGTTGATTATATATATGGTTTACTCTTGTATTTTTAACAGAGTTAACGATTTGAGGTAAATAAGGTAACGATTAAAACTTCATCGGGTAAAACATCTCAAAAAATACTTTAAGGGGCAACTCAATACAAACGATATATTTTAGTAGACAATGGTGCATTTTAGCCTAAATTAAAAAAAATAAATTTAGTGACCAAAATAGGAGTTAAAATATAGTTGAGTGACGAATAATATAATTTACCGATAAAAAGGTACCGCATGTGAATCACGGTTAAATTTTTAAAGGTGAGGTACTAAAACGAAACAAAAACTAAATATTAAGTATGATTTTTAAAAAAATAAAAGTTTATTAGTTTAGGTACTACAACATACTAAAATTAATAGTTTGTGTATTAAACTCGAAATTTACCCTTTTTAATTCAACCTGTAAAATTTTAAACCCTTTCGAAAGGGAAAAAAAGATGCGTTTCCAGTTAATTCTGGATGTTTTGGGGTTCTATGGTGCATAAGTGAAGAACGAGGACTCGAGGAGGGCAGTTATATCTGTACTTACTTTAGAGTAGAGAAGTAAAAGCGAGAGGAAAAATGTCCAAGACGAAGCAGCTGTTGTCTCTTCTCTGCCGCAGACTTCTTCCGACTACATGCTGTTTGGCTCCTTTCTCTGCAAACTCCCAAATTCCATCTTTATCCTCTCACCTTCAATCTTCTTCTAGGGCTCCTCTACCCCTCGGCCTTGATTTTTTCCCTAACCCAAAAACTTACCTTCTAAGTTTTTGTTCGCAATCCGCCGCAAAACTCGATTCTACACCGAAACGGTGTTGGAACTGCGTCGCCGACGCTCCCAGCTCGACGCCGTTCTTGTATTGTGATTCCTGCCGGACCATTCAGCCTGTTGATTTATCCATCGACTACTTCCAAATTTTTGGACTGTAAGTGCATTTTTCAGCTAGTTTTATTTATTTATTTTTCCTAATTATTGCTTTTGTTTCCTTGTTTGTTCCGTAATTAAAAAATATTACAGAGAGAAAAAGTATGAAATTGAGGTTGATGGATTAGAACGGATGTACAAGGATTGGCAGAAGAAATTGCATCCTGACCTTGTTCATTCAAAATCGGAGGTTTGGTCATTCCAAACAAATAATTTGGTTTCGTATTCATATATGTTTTTAGAATTATATATAATATATATATATATATATTGGGAATTGTTAGAAAGAGAGAGAATATGCTGCTGAACAATCTGCCCGTGTTATCGATGCATATCGCACACTTAGCAAGCCGTTGTCTAGGGCGGTATACATTGTAAGTTTTCCTTTAAATATCAAGTAATGTGCAGTTTTATGGTTTCTGAAGTTTTGTTTGCACTTGTAGTCCTGATATTTTAATTTACTTGAAGTGATTGTTTTGCATACTATAATCAAGATGCTTTAGAGTTGAATATTATCAGTGTAATTGAGAAATGGATTTAGAATACGACCTTAGATCAAATATGCCTGTTGTTGAATCTTTTTTTTTTAACACTAATAGATCAGTTAAACATGGATGGATTTGTTTCATGGTCCAATTGAATTGAATTAGGCTAAAAGAAAGTAGATTTTCTTGATCATGTTTTCTTTCAACCCTTTTATTTCATTGTCTCTTTTTCTCTTTTTTTCTGTATTGATTTTCTAGTATTTGCCTTTTCCAAAAAAAAAATCTGGTATTTGAATATTTTTGTGAATTTGATATTTGCTCTTTTCCTTAGTTGAGGTTAAACATGGATGGATTTGTTTCATGGTCCAATTGAATTGAATTAGGCTAAAAGAAAGTAGATTTTCTTGATCATGTTTTCTTTCAACCCTTTTATTTCATTGTCTCTTTTTCTCTTTTTTTCTGTATTGATTTTCTAGTATTTGCCTTTTCCAAAAAAAAAATCTGGTATTTGAATATTTTTGTGAATTTGATATTTGCTCTTTTCCTTAGTTGAGGCTTGAAGGAGTAGATGTTGATGAAGAACAGACAGTTTCAGACCCAGAGTTGCTCACTGAGGTAATTGAAACTTCTCAAAAATCTATTTTTACTTTAGATGCTTAACTTTCCTCAGTGGTTTTATTTTTTAAAGAGTGATCCATGTTTCGGAGTTTCTATTTATACAGATTATGGAAATCAGGGAAGCTGTAGAAGAGGCTCCAGATTCACAAGCTCTAAATCAGATTCAGTCTCGGGTATGACAAAGAGTTCTCAATCTTCACGCATGTCTTGTTTGAATAGAGAGTTGCATCAGTGTCAGACAATCATGATGTTTCTCTCTAGCTATCATTTGGATGGTTCATTTCTATGCGAGGCTGACTGCATTTACCTAAATGGCAATCAGTAATATTCTGTATGTTTGAAACTATAATACTTTTGGACTGCTAGAGGAAGAGTGGTAGATAATGGCTAGTACGACAATCTTCAATGCCATACTTTGAACTCACTGGGTTCTTTAGGTTTCCTGGATCAGGCTGCTGCCTGCAACTGCCCCAAGACATGCTTAAATTCTACATGCTTTGGTTTGGAGTTCTTTCCAATTTGAGTTGTGCTACCTGCACATAATGAAATATTTGATCCAACCTCCATTTCCTTTACCTGAGGGGTAAAAAGCAAAGTGAGCACTGCTGGTGTGCTGCATAGCTATGCCTGCTTAAATGTGGGAGATCTCACTGTTTACAACCTTCATTTGCTTAAACTCTGTGTATCAAGTTAATATGTTGTTTCAAGTGCATATTCATTGAAATTTTGTATACCTTAACAATTTTTAGCAAAACTTATTAATTTCCTTTTTGGCCTTTTGCAGATGAAGGAGAAATTGGAAGAAACATCTGACTCCTTTGAAGATGCATTTCGAAGAAGGAATTTTGATGAAGCTGTGACTTGTACCCAGAGGATGACTTACTATCAGCGTGCAAGTGAAGAAATTTTAAAGAAGCTTTGATAGAGGTAATGGATTATTTTTGTTCCTTGTTTTAACAATTTCCTCCATGCTGGGGATGTTGTCTACTCCCATAGTTATGTAATATCTACTTATGTCAATGGATGCATTAAAGAAATGGGACAAAATGTCTCTGTCATCATATCTTGGATTCAATATTCCATGCTAAATGACCAAGTATTAAGGCCATACTGAGTTGCCCCTTTGGGCTTTGGTTTTAAGTCGTATATATGATTGGAATTTTATGGTCTTACCTTAGAAATTACCAAGTTCTGGGTTGTTTTGGTAACACTTCTAAGTCATTTCGTGCTAGTTTCAGGTTCATGCCGCTCTTGCAATGTTATTATGGGATTTGCAACCTTAAAGATTAAGGAGATGATATCAACGGAAGTGAGTAAATTTTATTTTAGTAGTAAGAACTTCAAAGCTTCCATATGTACCACCTCCATTTTTTCTCGTGTTTGCTAGTTGATATGCATCTTTGTAGAGTGAAAAAAAAAGTTATGGGTTGGCACACTTGATAATTGGCTACAGAATATCATCTTTTTAAAAGATACAAAGGATTTGGTTATTAATCCCATTGGCACCCATCATTTTGCCGTAAGTAGACTGCTTATAGAACCATATGGTGATAACTAGGTTCATCTTAAAACAAGAGTAACTGTGATAACCATTTTAGAATCAATTTCTAGACTGCAAATTGCAAACTCTTTTAGATAAGGATAATTGCCTGGGGGCAGGCATTCCTTATCATTTGTACAGTTTAGTTTGAATCTTGATAAGATGTCGTTTACGTTTGATCTTTGATGGCTTTTTTCAGGTATGATATGATTGAACATCTGGTTGAAGGCTCCTCAATAATATGTAAGTTAAAACACACACAAAGAAAATAAAATATTAAGGGTAGATCCTGTGTTGTTTAATTACTATCATATCTTTTGTTCCTCTCTTAGTGGATAATTCAGAGCTGGACTAGTTGATATGGTCTCATTTCTGTATTTTTTTTCGTTTCTTTACATTTTAATATTTCAAAATTTTCAAATTTCAATAATTTAAATATTTTTATTTTCTACTTTTTAATACTTTATTTTTTCAATATTTGAACTATTTTTTTTTTAATTTTTATGTAAAAATAAAACATGATAAAGTATACAAATCGTTCCCCGACTGTTGAACGTTGTTTTGCTTAGTCATTTGACTATTGAAAGTTACAAAATAATTCCTCGACTATTGGATGTTGCTTTATTGAATACCTTAATTATTAAAAGTTATAAAATGATCACCTGACTATTAAAATGTTTCAAAATTATCATTTTTTGATAAAAAAATTAGTGATCATATGAGCTGAACGTTAACCTATTCGTTGGAAGAACTATTTGAGTTATTTTTTGTGAATCAAGTCTTTGTTTACATTATGTCGTCGAGCTAATGCTTGAAATATTATGTCTAGGAATGGGCATAAGATTCAGACCCGACAGGTCGATCGGTTCGAGTTTTAAAAAAAACAATCAGGTTCGTTTCGGGTTTTATATATAAAAGGTTTGGGTTTGGGTTGGAATCAACTTTAGGGTTAAAATAACCCGACTCGATACTTTACAAATAAAATTATACATTTATACATCATTTCTTTGAAGAGTTATGGTTTCATTAAAGGTTATCAAAACATATCCGCGAGATGAAGTTGCTTATGATGTGTTTTCAATTTTTTTCGAAATAAAAAATAATTAAATAATTTGGTTGGGTCGGGTTGGGTATCTTACCTATGAATTGGGTAGGGTTGGATTTTTGGTGGAAGAGATAAATTTTAGGGTCGGGTCGGATGGGTTGAAAATTTGATTTGACTCGATCCATGTCTATCCTTAATTATATCTTCGAGTTAATGTTTGAAAGGACGGTACCAAAGATATCATTAGAATATGATTTTATCATATTTCAGTTAGTAGGTTAAATAATTAACTTTTAATAAAAAATAACGAATTTAAAACATACGAGTAATTGGATAACCTTTAACTTTCAAGAGTTAAACGACTTAACTAAGTAGCATTTTATAGTTATGACCATTTGTGTTCTTTACCCAATAAAAAAACCAACATCAACGTTGATAAAATACTCCTGTACACCTAATTTTTTAACTTGGTTATTTCGAAATGTAATTTAATTTAAATACATAAAATATCCATAATTACTCCTAGATTATCATAGGAGCTGGAAATATGTTTAATCAATAAAGATAATAAATGTAAGAATAAACTTTTAGTTAAAAAGGTATGGATAAACTGCAACCGTTGAAAGAAATATAATGAGAAGAAAATAGACAAATAGAAATGGGGAGAGACAAGAAATTGTGTTCTGTATTTATATTGTTTTCCTTTGTTAATAATTTATATTTTATATTAATATAAATTTTTGTGTATTAACAGTTTACAATATATATTTAGTTTGATAATTGATATTGTTTTCTATTTTAAAGAATATTTTTCATGGGTTTTTTTTGTGTTATATTTCAATTCATCTAGTTTAGTTTATTTAATATATAAATATATATTTTTATTATTTCTTGAGGACTCGGGTTCAAGCATCGAGAATGACAGGAATGAGCGTTCAATGTCAAGAGGTTGAGAGTTATTTTTAAATAAATATTGCATTGTACTTACCTCATATTAATAAAAAAATACAATAATCATTTTAAAAAATTGTTAACAGTTCAAGAAAATTATTTAAATATTAAAAATTATTTTTTAATTTTAAATATATATATCAATTATTAAAGTTGTGATTAAATTTTGTGTTACAAGTCAATTGAACACTAATTCAATTGGAAATTATAAAACTATGATTAACTTGAATATGATCAACATAATTATATCGTACTTTTAAGAATTAAACACATATGTATATAATAAGATTTAGGATAAAATACACATTAGTATCAAACTATTAGTTTTGACTTGTTTTAGTACTTATACTTTCAATTTTTTTTAAACTATATATAATGTTTAGTTTTTGTTTCATTCTAATACTCTACTGTTAAAAAAGTAATGTGTTTAGTACCTAACTATCAATTTTAGTTTGTTTTGGACCAAAACTTTCATTTTTTTTTTCCAAAAATTAACGATAAAGTTTGAACGGGGTACTATAATCAAACAAAAATTAAACTTTAAATATGATTTAAAAATAATCGAAAGTTTAGGGATTAAAATAGATCAAAATTGATAGTTTAGGTATTAAATACATAATTTATCCTAAGATTTATATATAACTCTTACTACTCTACTTATAATTAGAGGTGTTAAAAAATACCCGACTCGAATGACCCGACGACCCGAACTAAAAAAAGGGGATAATTATCTAAAAAATTATCCAACCGGACTAGGTACCCGACCCGACATTTCCCGGGTAGGACCCAGGTTACAAAATTACATTTTTCCGGATACCCAATTACCCAAGTACCTGGTTACATTTATCTTTTATATATAATAATATTACATATTTAATTATTAATAATTTTATATATTAAATTAAACTAATAAAATTTAAAAAAACCCCACCCAATGTATGTTTAATAATTAATATAATATATTAATTAATAATATAATTTGTATGTTTTTTTTAAATTAATAATTTGAAAATGATACAAAATCGAGTACCTAATTACCCGAATTACGGGAACTCATAAAATTCGGCTATCTAACTATCATGTACTCACAACATCCAGATCAAGATATTGGCCTGCAAATCAACTACTCGAGGACCCGGTATCCTAACCCCGTACCCGGATTTAAACACATCTACTTATAATTATAGTTGAATAAAATTTTCAAAATATAAATTTTTACATAAAATATTTGGGTAAACGCCTTTCAACCATTCGTATTATTGGGCCGTACGTGTGGCCCAATAAACAAGGATGTTTCCAGTACCTTGGGCAGAGAAAAGTAGCAGCCAAGTATAGATATATCGACACGCCTAGAACAGAATCGCCAAAAAGACGAAAAGGAAAAAAATGGGTTGGGTGTGGAAAGACGAACCAGACGACGCCGTCGACGTAACCGCTGGCGAAGGCGATCGATGCTCTACCAGTAAGGTGGTGCGATCTAACTGCAAGACGGAAGAAATCGAGCCTGGAAAGTTCGTTCGAAAGTGCGAGAAAACTGAAGAAGTTCTCAGAGAATGCGTTGGGAGGTAACTTTTTCGAACATTTAGCCTCTTTCTTTTTCTTTTTGATTATTTTTGGATTTTTTTCAATGTTAAGATCCATAATCTGTTGTAGTCATCATAAAATGAACCCTACTTTACCTTGATTTTTATATTGAATTTCTGGCTCAATTTTAAAAACCTTTTTTTTTAGAATAGAACTAAATAAAAATCATAATTCGCTGCGAATTTAGTTGCTTTTAGTTTAGAAAGTTTGCATTCGACTAAATTGTTTGGCTTCCAAAGAATTGAATAATGTGAACTTGATTTCGCAAACATTGTAGTTATTTAAGGCTGCCTTGGAGAACTTAGATTTTAAAAACAGTATTTCTGCGCGTAATTATGAATAGAACATTAATGAATTATGAGTTTGTTACAAGCTTATATATTTAGTGATGAATTTAAAGTTTTTATAGATATTTTTTGTATTTGAGATGCATGTTCTTATGGTGCCAAAATATATAATAATATTGAATTTAGCTAATTTTCCCTTATATGCTCATTGTACATTTCTTTGAGCAAACGAAATTAAAATCTAAATTTTGAAGTTCATGTTTCCATTCATGTATCACAAATGTATTGAAAATATTTTCGTTTCAATTTCATTTTAATTTTGTTGGTCTAGAGAGAGGGTGGCTTGTTTATAGATTATAACATTTGCGAATGTGGAGCTTCTTTTTGAGAGATAAATCATTGTTTGAACTCATGGAACTGTGTAAAAATTGTGCTTGTAGCTTTCTTTTAGAACTTTTTTCATGTTTGTTATTTGAACTTCGGCTTTGAGATTGTAAAAATTCTAGCAAAATTTGGTTTAACAAACTGTCTAAGAGATTTGATGCTTTTATCATCCATATAAGAAATGGTACGAAATGCAGCAATAAGAGATTTGATGAAATTTGAATTATATGACATGTTGCTTAAGTTTTGAAGAAATTTTAATGATGGTCTGATTGAAAAGGATATGTTAAAATATCGGTATATTTTTATATCAATCAGCTTGTGTTGTTTTTGTCACTAGAAGATGGAATAGAATCAAACGTAGCTTAATTGACATTTGTGGTAACTGCAAATGTGTTTCCACCAAATTAGTGAAGCTTCAAGATAGACAAAATACATACATATATATATATGTGTGTGTGTGTGTGTGTGTGATTCCTTTATCGGCTTATTTAACTTGTTTATTGATGACAGTATGATATGTTTTTGAGGGAAAACACTAGAAACAATAAAAATCTATAGTTTCTTTATTAATCCAAAGAACATATTGAGATATCTTATAATCGTAGTTCTAGATTACCTTAGTCATCCATATAATTAACAAATATAGCTGAAATAAAAAAATAATATAAAATAATTTAATAAGTTCCTGCATCACCGTATATGCTATTAGTTTGTGTGCACTATGTTTTTCCCCTTCTCATGCTCTTACATGATTCGTGTAATGATTTAGTATTATTTGCAAAACTTAATTGTTCTCTGTGGAGACTGCTGCAGAACATCGGTTGAAATGGATAATAGCTCTTTGGACGGGTCTGTTTTGTCGTTTATGTTTGGAATTAAATACAGAAATTTATAAAGTTCACTGCAACTTTTTTCATTCACTCTTTAGCTTTAATCATAGTGTATGATTTCTTATTACATTTTTGTGTATGTTTGAACTAGGCCCGTTGAAGTATTGCAGTCCAACAAAGAGTATACAGAGGAGGACGTCACAGAGCAAATGTTAAAAGGGAATTTCTCATCAGGATCACATGGGGAAGGATCATTTGAATTTCCTGGGCTTCGCAGTGACTTGGAGGCAATAGAACGTGAGTTCTTTGGTGGGGTTAATCGTTTCTTTGATGCTGCGGAAGAGATGAGAAAAAGTTTCTTTGATGCTTTTGGAGACTTTTATGGCAGGGAATCTTCATCACTACCATCTCCAAGGCGAGGAATACCCGTTGAAGATCATCCTCAGAAGAAAGCTTCCCCTAAACGAGACGAATCCGGGCGTATCGATTTGTCAGGTTTAGCAAAAGATGTTTGAAGGTTTTTTTGGGGTAAGAGCTAGCCTCGTTATATTTCCTTCAATGTGGAGAAACATTGTGTATGCATAAAAAGGTGGAATGGTATTTTTGTGACAATTAGTGTGGACTTGGGTCATGGTATGCATTTCAGAGAAATAAATTTGTGGCCTTCATATTTTATATGTTGAATTGGATTGGCTTTTGGGTTTGGCTGGATTAGTTCAATCACTCATTTGGTTGAAAATTAATCAATGAATCTTCAATGTTTACCTTGTTCTCTTTAACAACCTTAACGAGAAACAACCGAAGATGACTAAGTGAAAGATGTTTGGTTTTGGAAGGGAATGAGAAGACACGGCGACAGGCGATGACTTGTTTCGATTATGAGTAGGTAGAGGAGCTGTTTTGCCGCAGATGTGATTGGTAATAGCAACGACATTCTCTTTTTTCACCGGATTGAAAGGGTTTGAAAAGGTGGTTTGAGCTAGCTATGGATGGGGAAAGGTGGTGTCCGAAACAAGGTTTTTAGATTTTTTGGGTGATTCTGTTGTGCGACTCGAGGCTGATAAACTATGTAATCGGTGTGAGCGATTATTGGATAATAAAAAAGCGAAACACAAAATATTATGATCTGCAACTGAAAATATTGTGTTATTGTAACAATAACGGTTGCACTATCGTTGTTTTTAATATGGGTTTAACAAAATTAGGTCGTAGTAACAAATTTGGTTGCGTTGAAAATATTACTGGATGGTAAGAAATTAAGTTGTGAGCGGCAAATATTATAAGTCGCCTCAACAAATCTATTTTCACTAGAAAATGTTACCGGAGTTTTTAAAATGAGTTAAACAAAATAGCGATGGCAACAAATTAGATTGAGAGTGAAAAATATTATAAATCATGTAAACAAATTCAATTATGTCCTAAAACGTAACCCTAAAATATAACCAGAGTTTATAAATTAGATCCAACAAAATATCAACAGTAATAAAATATAGAAAATATTATACTGTAAAATAACATTTTCGATTATTATATTGCAACTTGAAATGTAAATGTTACAATCAAAATATTTATAGTAGGTGATAAGAAATTCATTTGCAATCTGAAATATTTTTCAATTGCAACATTATTACTTGTATGAAACTTTAATTTTTTTTAAAAAAAATATCAAAACAATTAAAATTTATTCTCTGATATTTGATACTTGTATGGAACTTTAATTTCAAAATTACTTTAAAATACCAAATATTGAAACTTATAATGTTAATTTAATGAAAAGAATCTTTCAAAGTTCGAAGTATCGAAAATATTTATTCTCTCAATTATTTGGTAATGAACACTCAATCACATTATTGTAGCCTTTGGTGTTCGAACTCATGACCTCGAAAAACAACAACGATTCTTTTAACCACTGAGGTAAGCTAGTTCATACTACTTTATTTGTAGTTTAGTTCGTTTTTCTTATAATTTAAAATATAATTGGTCCAATGTTTGACTAACTTAAAACTAGTTATCATGAATCGGTGAGAAATATAAAATTTCTAGCTAGATTCCAACATATAATTCATATATTATGAGATATTTGTGTTTAAGCATTTTAGATAGATTATATTTCATGATTATATTTATGATGTTGCAACTTAAAATATTAAATGTGATTCAATACTTGTTTCACTATAAGTATCGATATTTGTAACTAAGGGGGTGTTTGGTTCATTGAATGTAAGATTACCTTTAGGGGGCGTTTGATTTACGAAATGTAAGATTACTATCGAGAATAAATTACCAGAATATTACATTACTTAACACATTACTAGAAATATTGTATTATCATGTTTGGTTTGTTTGACAGGAATATAAGATTACAATGTTTGGATGAAAGAATATAAGATGAGAAAAATGTATGTTTTATCAAATTGCCCTTGAGATAGTTTTCTTTTTTAACAAATGAAAGTTGATAGAAAATATACTTTTTATTATTTCTAATTTATATACAAATTTTTTTAATATATATTTTTATTACGTTTAATAAAGAAAATCTATATATATTTATAAACTTACTGTTGGGTGTTAGTCCACTATATGGTGAAACCATCCCTTTAAAAAATGGTTACAACATAAAAAGGAGTTGCAACCTAAAATGTGGTGAACTTGAAAAAGTGGTACAACATAAAATGAGGTGCAACCATAAAATAGGTTGCAATTTAAAATGTAACCCCCTCAGACCGATGCGGATAGCCCGATCCGATCTGGAGTGTCACATTAAGGCCACCGGAGAGACCCACTATAAAAATAGCTGAAAATTTAAAATTTTTCTTAAAACATGTAAAATCATAAAATGATTTATTATTATTCAGAAATAAAACAGGTTTTTCAAACTCAGATATAAAACAAAATACAATCTACATGCCCCCTAATCACATGTATGATACTATGCAAGCAACGCTGGAAGAACTCCCTTACCGATGTTGATAGCTGTACTGGTATAATTCTTTTAACCTGAAATGGTGAGTAATAGAGTGAGCTTCGAAAATCTCAGTAATACAGAACTACCAGATGATGCTGCAAGACATGCCAATAAATGGAAAACCATATCATTTCTTATTGAAAAGACGTATACCGATGCTCAGAATAATATGGGGTTCCACTGGTAGTTCATCGAATAAAAGCCATGAGTATCTCAGTTCATATGAAGCATTCATAGTATCACGTTCTCAGGAGATCAAATACAATGTCTAGTGTGTTCCAACAGTACGATAAAAATCATAATAGGTACACTAATCAAATGATAGTTCAGTAAATCTCAGAAATCATACTGTAGTGGAGCTTTTTAAGCTCGTATTTTAAAGCCATCGTATAAATAGTTAACCTGAGGGAACATCTTAGGGCCTGAGAGCCTACCCAAGAAAGTTCGGGGCCACGGGGCCTACCTAAGAACATATCTTAGGGCCGCAGGGCCTACCCGAGAATGATCTCAGGGCCGTAGAGCCTACCTAAGAGTCACATTAGGTCCATAAAAATTTTCCAGCTTAATCAGAGATGTACTTTACAAATCATTATCTCCAAGATACAATTTATATCATGATACAAATCCACAAGCCATCACCGTTAAGTCGGTGCATCCATAAAATAGTAACCATAGATTTTAGTGTACCACATATTAAAACAATAAAATAATTTATTAATGTATAGGGAACACACTAGAGAATCTAAGTATTTTTCAGAGACATTTTGTAGTTATCAATTTGGATAGCATGAACTTGTGCAATCTGATCGTATTCCAGGAACAAGGTCCTATTGAAGAGAATCGATTACTAACCGATCTAATCAAACATTTAAGCTGATACTTTAGAATTCCACTATGTTTTCATATGCATCAGGAAAGTGTTCAAGAACCTTTATGCAAAATAATTCTAGATTCAGATTTACTGAGAGTGATTCCATTACCCAAATAATCAGGGGTATTCAGGAATATACTTTGAATTCATAGGATTTCAGCCCAATTGAACCAAAATAGGTATTCAGAATCTTTTTCTTCCGCGTTACTTGTGTTTTCAAACATGTCTGAAGTGATTTTAGATGAAAATGTAGAATCGAAGATTCAAGTCATTTTCAATTTATGACTATCGATCGTATTATCAAAAAACTCGAGTTATACAACTCCTAGACTGATGCATGTCAACAAGTCAATTCATTATCCTTCCAAGGTATTCACTCTGTAATACTATAATGCATATCCATATATCATCCCCATAATCATCGTTGAATAGATCTTCCAACTGTTTTTATTTCATTTTCACGTTTCAACGATACCAGAAAATACGGACGTATTTGATTCATGGTTCATGACCCATAAGGATAATTCATCATGTAAGTTCAACAGTGTTTCCATACTCATCCAAATCACTTATTTAATCATCATTCATTGAGGTCACTTAGTTCATTTAGCAATCATGTCTATTCCTGTTACTTTAGAGTTTTCCAGAGTAATTCAGAAGTTTCCGAATTTCAAATACATATTGCATTTCCTTTCAGTTCAATTTAGTCATATACTAGAGTCATTCTAGTATTCGTGGTTGATTTATCTTACAGATATCCATTACTTACTATCGAATATGCTCTAATGTTGAGTTGAGCTGAGTACTTCCAAAATTATCATCAATTCAAACTTGAGGAAACAAACAAGAATTTAAATGGTTCTTATGCCATTCAAGTGCTGATACAGAACTAGCATTGGTTGACCGACTTAAGTTGCGTTCCATAACCTTTAAGAGCAATATGACATCCATGTTTATTTGAATTTCTTAAATAATGTAAGACATTTACTTAGTCTAGGACATAACGATATTTTGGTCCTTTTTATGCTCAATGTTATTCCATTCATTTCAAAGCTTGAGGATATCCATTCATTCCTGGCTTTGTGATATTCTTTAATCATTTCCATTATAGGGGTATTTTGGTCATCTTACAGATCTAGAGTATTTCAATCATTTCCTTCCGTCCGGTCTTATTATCGAATTCAAACTTATCATCTTTTCCAGTTCTTTCGAACAATTCAGACAAAAGAGCACCCTCAATAATTTATTCTTAACTCAGAGATTTTCAGGTCAGTTGCCTTCTCAGAAGTTACAAACATGTTATTAGAAATTTTATGTACAAAGACGGATCTTAACCATCAAATCCGTAATTTATTGAGTTAATTACAAATTCTCAAAGTATTTTCTCATTCCGGATCAACTCGGACTATTTTTATCTTTCAATGGCATTTTCGTAATTTCTTAACCAAATAGTTTCGGTATTAACTCTTTACGAAAATAACTATAATTTAAAGATTCTATGGTTAATTGCTTTCCCGAACATTCTCTTATCTTGAAATGATTCCCTTAACAGACTTCTAGCATCTTGCACAAACTCTCATGGGGTTAAAAACTAGTTATCCAAATCTTTTAAGCAAAACTAGCATTTCTTATTCACATCTATAATTTTACCAAATCAATATGTTTTTCAGAGTTATTAACCAACTTCCAAGGACAATTCTTGTCATCTTTCAACATAAGGGTATTTTCATAATTTTACTATACCAGAGTATTCTCATAATTTCCAATCCAAGTACCTTTGATGAAATAAATTATAATTTACATAACCAGACTGATTCATTTATCACCTAATCACAAAGC